TCTAGCTCCTGCGGGAAGGGGGCGGCTGCAGGCCCGGAGGACGTGGGGAATCAGCGGCCCTGAGGACACTCCGGGATGGGGCGCCGGACAAAGACAAGGCATTTAGCCTGGCGCTTGACGAGAGGAAGCCCGGCGGGCTCCGGTCGCTAATAAGCACCGTTTCTCTCCCTTTGTGAGGCGGGCCCGAGGGAATTTGAATAGCGGGACTCATTTGTAACCCAGCGCCTCCGGCCCAGTTGAAATTCTGCTGGTGCCGCGCGGCCTCCTCTGTATGCAGCCCGAGGCTGGCGCCGCTCTGCTCGTTAGCTCCAGAAGTAATGGGCAAGAGCAGGGGACGTTTTACCCGCAAAGGGCTTAGTTAACCCCCTTCCCAGCAATGTCAAGAAATTGTCTTGTTTCTGCAGGGCCCCAGATAAAGTTAATCAGCATAAAATGGTCACGGTCCCTTTGTCATCGCTAAATCTTCTTGAGAAGAAAAGGCAGGCAGAGGACACAGGGAGCTCCCCCCCCCCAGAACCAGTGTCCCCTCAAAGCCGGGTGGGGGGCTGTGCTCAGAGGAAGCCAAAGCCAGCAGCTTGCCCAGCAGGCAGCCTGCCACGACTCCCTCCCGGACCTCATGCCAGCTGAGGTGGTAGCCAGCTCAGGGAGAGCAGGTCTTGGGGCGTGTGCTGAAGGGGTGTCCGGGTGGGGGGACACCCCTCACACTCCTGTTCATCAAACAGCTGCTTCTGGAATCTTCTTCAAACCCACTCCCCAAGACTCTGATTTCCCCCTGCCAGCAGAAGTAATCCTGGCCTTGGCCTCACCAGCCCTGCAAAAATGCAGGTGTCGACAGCCCCGGCGGTGGGCGGGGGGACGGTTCTAAGGGGCAGTTGGTGTCTTGGCCAAACTCGCGCCGGTCAGGGCAACAGCGCAGGCCACCACGGTGTTCCAATCCGCTCACAGCCCACAGGAGTGTTGCTTCCTGGAGCAAGTCCTGCTTATGGTTTGGCAGAAGCTCCCCCAGAGATTTAAACTGTCCTCGGAGGGTCATGGCAGAGGGGGAATCCCTTGGAAGCTTTGTTAATTACTTGATGGAAAAAACAAAATCACTTGAAATTACCCGTGTCTCTCAGGAGGGACCCGTTGACTTAGAGTGGTTTGTCTTTGAGCGCTTTGTGATTGTTCACTAGGACTGCTGCACACATTTGACAGCTCTTCGCGGAAGCAGGCGCGCTGCGGTTGGGAGTGATGACTTAGCAGTCCTGTCCTCCATGCCCAGCAGCACCACCTGCCTCCCCACCCTCCCCATCACTGCAATGAGTAGGACCACTGTTAGCCTCTCCGCTTCCACCACCCTCACCATGCCCAGTTACCACCATGACCCCACCACCCCCACCGCTACCAGCACCATCTTCACCGCCATCACTGTCCCCACCATCGCCACCAGCGGCAGCACCATCACAGGCAGCCCCACATCAGGACATAAACAGGGTCAGAACAATTTCTCCAGCGCCTGCTGCAGCCAGCTCTGCTCCCCTGCTCCCAGAAATAATCTCCACTATTTTCAAGAAGATGCATTATCATCTTACCCTAGCTCACAGTGATTAAGAATCTATGTCTACTACCTACAGCAAGAGAATGACAATTAGGGCATTTGCAGAGAATTCTCTAATGGCTTCATTATTCTCTCTACTGTGGAGACTTCATTGGCTCTGTCGAACTTCTCTAGTGAGTACTAAAATGATAGATGTATCATCAGAGGGAGAATTTGTCTTCTCTGATAAATACAGTCGTGCAGGAGGAACGGCAGGCGGCTCCTGCAGGCCCCCGTCAGGGCACTGGGCGACACTGACCACAGCATAGCCGGACAGTCCACCCTCCTTCCAGCTCAAGGGCTGGGGAAAGTCGCCTTATCTCCTCGTTTAAAGTCAGTAGGATGCCAGGAGCTTGCAAATATTCTTTAAACTTAGTTATCTTTCTCACATTATCAAGCCCCTTTGAAGTCAGAGGCCATCCTGCTTGGCTGCGTTTCCATTTGAGAGGATGCTGTGTGACTCAGTGACAGGTCGGGTGGGGAGCTCGTTCTTGCGGGTCTTGGGGCCCAGCTGTGGGATGGTTGGTTTAGTTAGAAGTCCACGGATGTGTCGTCAGCAACCAGTGAGGCCCGAGTGAGTAGGCGGACGTGTCAGGCCTTTGATGGCATCGGAGGGTCGCAGCTGACGCTTCCTTTGAAGCAAAATAAGTCCCTACACTCTAGGACCGCAGACATGCGTCAGGAACCCCACGGTCACGAGAGTCACAGCAGCGACTCCCAGTTGGCAGCCTTATCTGCTGTTTATCTTGTACGCTCCGGATGTTTATAACATCCTTGAACAAGTTTAAAGTGTGATAGCATTGGATGTATGTATAATAGCAACAAACGCTTAACACCAAAGGAGAGCGTAGCTCAGAAAGTTTTATGCAGATCCAGTTCCGAGTCCCGGGTCAGCCATATGTCATCCATCAGGGCCCCTGATGACATTTTACAAATTGCATTTATGATACTGTTGAAATTCATGAAAGGTGGCTGCCAGGAGCAAGCAGAAGCTATTAAACAAATACGTGGTTGGCTCCTCTCTAGCCCACAGTGTGCAAATTCAACATACGCAGAGCGAGTAAACTACAGGACGTGGATAGACCCGTCAGGACTGCGGCGTCTGCGAGCTCCTCCTTCTTATCATTCAATTTCTTCGAAAGTGTGTAAGCCCCGGGTATTGGGGCTTCTAGGGTCGAGGACTCGCTGCGGCCCTGGCTGGCTTGGGCAAAGGCCTCTCCTGGAGAGCTAGACACAGGGGATCCGCCGCCTGTTTCTGTTAGGAAAAGTGGGTGCTTGTGAACCACAGCGCGATGAAGGCCTTCACTTCCTTTCTCACCGGCCTTCAGAGAGGACAAGACCTCCAGAAGCCCCCTGGCTAAGCCCCTCGCCATCGGCAGGCCAGCGCAGTGGCCGCCTCTGGCCTCCGTCCTGACCTGCACTTCTCACCCGCCAGACAGCCCCGAGCGCTGGGCCCAGGTCCTGCTACTGTGGTTTGGTTGGATTGCAGGAAACTGGGGCTCCAGCTATCGCTCAGACTTCATTTCCTGCCAGTGTGCTCTGACTGAGGCAGTCTTTGGGGAGTAAGTAGCGATGCCTCTACACTTTTAAGTAAGTCAGCGCTTCTGCCACCGTTCTTACGTATGACCTGCGGTAGTGGCAGGTGCCCCGCAGGAGCCCCGCAGCTGCTGAGTTACACGGGCCCCTGGCCAGCCGCCCTGGCCAGGCCCCAACCCCTTCGTGAGAGGCCCTGGGCGCTCCTGGCGTGTCCCGGGGCCGGCAGGGTCCCGCAGCCCTCGGCCGGGCTTCGCTGTCTTGCAGAGGACGCTAACCTGGGCCGGTTGGCTCAAGAGCCAGCCCGGGCCTTCCTGGCGAGGTAGCGTCTGCTCAGTGAGCCCCACGAGTCCCTTCGCTCCCCAGGAGTGCTCCAACCCGTGCTGCAACGCCTCCAGCTGCACCCTGAAGCCCGAGGCTGTGTGCGCCCACGGGCTGTGCTGTGAAGACTGCAGGGTGAGCCCCACCGCACCTCGTTCCACCCCCGGGCGGGTCGGCGGGCGGGGGGTGGCCGGGCCCCCGCCCCGCTGGGGCCTCACCCCGTCGCACGTTGGGTCTAGGACCTCCGGTTTGTCACTAGGTGTGGGCCTCCTGTCCAGGGATGAAAAGGAATCGAGCGAAAAACTCAAACTTGACAGGAAATGACTCAGCTGTCTGCTGGCGCCCTGTCCCTGCCCCGTGCAGGGGATGATCGGAGCCCAGACCCCTTTCCCGGCTTCACGCGCGGCACCCCGAGAACGGCCGCCTGCTGGCTGGGGCGCTGTGTTGTCCAGGGACCGTCTGAGCATGCTGGCCGGACACCCCCTAGGGAGGTGCGGGCTGACCATCACGCTGTCTGCCTGTCTGGTCTGGGCAGCTCCGCGGCCGGCCTCGTGCCTCAGGCCGGGGCCTGACCCCGCGGAAGCCTGAGTCACGAGGCGGACGCTCGAGGGCTGCAGCTTATTAGCTGCGCAGGAGACCGCGGGAAGCCCCGTCCCTGCCTCCTCCCGCGCTCCGCGGTGTTTCCCGTCCAGTGTGGAGGTCCCCTCCGACCCTTCCTCTGCCCACCGCTGCGGGGTGTCGTCTGGCCCCCGAGACTTGCAGAGGTGGGTGGCGGAAGGGGCTGAGCAGAGAGGAAGGAAGCGGGACTGGGCTCCTCTCCAGGTGACCCCGGGCACCAGGGGAGGCTCCCCTCTCCCTTCGTGGCTTTCAGGCAATTCCTGTCGACTTCAGACCTTCCAGAAGGCGTGGGTGTCTGACTTCCTTTCCTTGGGGCGCGTGCAGGGAAGAGAGCCCAGGACGGGTGCAGAGACCCCCCGCTGGCACTCTCTTCCCAAACCGCCTCCCTCTCCGCCTCCCCCCCAGAGTCCCACAGACCCATGCCCAGCTCTGGGGCTGGAGGAGAACCCCAGAAGTTGTGAGATTGCTGTCGGGGTTGTGTCCCTGCAGTTCCTTTAGTCAACCCGCCCACGACTGCTGACACCCCAGGCCCGCCCGTCGTGCTCACGGGCTCGCTGCCCGCCCCCTCGCGTGCCGTGGGGCGCCTGGCCCCTCTGTTCTGCCTTGTAAACGTGCAAAGAGGCGGGTGGGGCGGGGACGGCAGCCTAGGGCGAGGCCCTGTCTGCTCCCGAGCCGAGGGCGCAGCGCAGACGGCCGCTGCAGCCGCCCTGACACCCTCTCGTGCAGCTGAAGCCCGCCGGGACCGCCTGCCGCCGCCCCAGCAACGCCTGTGACCTGCCGGAGTTCTGCACGGGGGCCAGTCCCCACTGCCCGGCCAACGTGTACCTGCACGACGGCCACGCGTGCCAGGGCCTGGACGGCTACTGCTACAACGGCGTCTGCCAGACCCACGAGCAGCAGTGCGTCACGCTCTGGGGCCCAGGTAGGCGGCAGCGCCAGCTCGGCACCAGCGGGGCGGACGTGTCCTGCCTGCGAGCCTCGCTCGAGGCGCCATGCGCTGCGCAAGGCGCTTCCTGCACTGCGGGGAGGGGCGGGAGGGGGCTCGCTGGGCACTGGGGCACAGAAATGGGTGCCTGACCTGAGGAGCTCGATGTGCGCCCCCGGAGTAACGGGCCAGTCAGTCCTGGCCCCTGCCCTCGTCTGGCAGGCAGTTGGACAGACAGACAGCCCTTCCATGACTACTCCGCTGGAGAAAGAGCTCCAAGCAGGAGTGGCTGTGGCTGAAAGGGGGGCTGCTTGGGGCGCCCCAAGCATGTTTGGGAGCAGCCGAGAGAAAGCACTGGCACTTCAGGGAGCAGCGAGCAGCTTTGGGGGGCTCGGACGGGACGGCTGGGTGGGGCCGATACCAGAGCTCAGAGGAGCAGGCGGATCCTGGCTGCAGGCCCCGGCGGCGTTTTGGTTCTCAGGCAGAGGCCGGCGGCCGGTGTGTCCAGCCAAGCACCAGGTGTGCGGGGCCGGCCCGGGGCCGCTGCCCCTTCACTGCTCCCCGCCTGCGCCCAGGTGCCCAGGGTGGGCTGTCCCTGGAGGCTCTCCAGCCACCTGGGGAGGCACAGTGCTGCCAGGCTGCGGAGGTGACCCTCCAAGTCGCCTCGAGGCTGGCAGCCAGCTTCTGAGGCTTGAGGCCAGGGTCTGAGCCC